TGGTGAGTCACCTGTTTCCTGTGGTAGGAGTGATGAAAGTGTCTTTCGGAAACCCTCAAGCTGATGGAGAGGCAGGTAGACAATGACAAGACAGGGAAATGAGGGGGGAATACAGGGACGGAAGGAAAGGAGGAGAGTTTGTTGTCAGGGGCCGACAAGTCTTCAGGACCCACGTGCAACAGAAGGGAAACATCGCCTGGTCTTGCACCATCTTCGCCATCGTTGCAGCGATGTGTCCATCCATCTTGTCTTCCTCTTTTTTGCTGCCCCTCCGCTGTACCAAGCGTGATGTCCTTCTCCAGGGGCCGGACTCATCTGATAACGTGTCCAAAGCAGGTGAGATGATGCCTCTCCGTCCTTGCCTCTAAGGAGCACACTCGCTGTTCAAGATATATTTGTTGGTCCTTCGGGTGGTCCATGGTACTTTCAGTACTTTCCCAGCACCCCAATTCTAGGAGCCTTGGTGGCATAGCAGATTACATGCTGGGGCTGCTAACCACAAGGTCAGCAGTTCGAAACCATCAGCCGCTCAAGGGGGGCAGAATGGGGCTTCTCTGCTCCCGTGAAGAGTTACGGTCTCAGGAACCCGCAGAGGGCAGTTCTACCCTGTCCTATAGGGTCGTGGTGAGTCCGAATGAATTCCATGAGTGTGAAGAGCAAGAGGAGGGGGTTATAGGGTGGGCAGTTGGAGGGGCGTCTCTCATGGCCACTTCCTTGGGTCTGCTTCGGAGCTCCTGGGCAGTCTGGGCTGGCCCTTTGCTGCACAAAGGTCTAGCCCTTGTGTGGGATGCCTTCTTTACCCTTATAGTGACCAGGTGGGGCTGTCAGTTAAGCATTGGACTGCCAATGGCAAGGGGGTGGGGGGTGTTCGAACCCAGGAGCTGCTCCAGAAGAGAAAGCTGAGGCCGCCTTTCCCATAAATCCTCAGGAGCCTGTGGAAGGTCGCTAGGGGGTTGGAGTCGACTTGATAGCAGTGAATTGCATTTGGATGAGCTGGAAGCAACTGTTCAGAGGAACCCTCTGTGATGTCCACTTCACAGATAGAGAAATGGGAGGGCGGACGTGAACTCGAACACAGTCAGAGGGGGTGTGTGGGACCGTTTATACAAGCTGCCTGCTCCTCCAGACCCCATAGAGCTTGACCACAGGGTCCATCCCACCCCTGCCCAGCGACCTTCCACAGGCTGTGGGTCTTCCCACAGATCCATTCTGCCGAGACTCCATGTGTCCGCTCCAAATACACCGACTTG